TTAATTTATTTAATAATGAATTAATTCAATTCCAATTCATCTGAAGACATTTTAATTGTGTATTATTTACTCATATGTTTTCTAGCCTGTAGCAGTTTCAGGCCGATATTAATTTAAATGTGATTCCATATATTTGAACTTTTTAAATTAGCATTTTTTCTACTCTAACTAAAACTAAAACTAATGTAAACTATGTTTTTCTTGGAATATTACTTTACATTTATTCATATTACAATCTGAATTTGTTTTTATGTTTTACTTCAGTAAAAGTGTCCTTATATCACATGATGATGATGGTCTGAAAAAACTGATTCAAAAGCCTGTATATTGCATATATTACAGAAATAAAATACATATGTAGAAAATGTGTCATGACTACAACTGATAAGACAAATCCATCTTATCTCTCTGACACTGGTTCTCTGTGTTCCTGCAGATATACCACAGAGTTAATCACATGCACTGCAAACCAAATGCTGGCACAGACTGACACACTGTTATGATGAGAAAACAGATTAAAGACCTGATCAGATTTGACAGGAAGTTTAAATCACACAGCTTCAGCCCACAGCAGCAGGCTGCAGACAGACAACACGTATGACATGACAGCTACAGTTACAGTTACAGTCCATGGTTTCATCAGCCGCTCTGTGAAAATTCTGTCCTGCCGTTCTGATAATGACGACGATGTTTAGGAACCACAAGGTCAGAATCACAAACCTGAAGAGAAATATTTCACCTCGACTCCGCTAAAGTTGTTATTCTTGGCATTTGTAGTATTCCAGATATTTCTGGATATTTTTGTTCAGATCATCAGTTTGCAATCTCTTAGCCCACAATTGCTATCGCTAACATTTTCGGTGGCTAATTTTAAGGTTTGTTTTGGCTAAATTAAATTTCCCTTTGCCAACATTTTTATAGTTACATCTGAAGTTATTTTTTAAAATGTTTTAAAATGTTTTTTTTAAATTTCAAACATTTGCTCAGAACATTAAATTTTTAGTCCTACTTATTAACTGACTCTTTATTTGTTTATTTATTGACTATTTATTTTATACATGTTTATCAAATTTTAATGATTTTATTATGAATTATTTATTATTGTTATTATTAATATTATTATCATTTTATCATTTGGCTAGATTATGGCTAAATTGTAGTCACTGTCATGCCCATTCTTAGCTACTCCTGCTAACTTTAAGCTGTGTCTGTTTTTATTTCACCTACTTTTGGTGACTAATTTGATTTGATAACATTTGGTTGTATTTTAAGTCATTTTAAATTTATTTGATATTCTTTTTACAAAGTTTAAAATCTGTCTATTTTTGTTTCATTTATTAAGAAAATTTCACATTTGATGTGAAAGACACTAACTAGCTGTGGGATAAAGAGGTCTATTACTTTTACCTCCAGTCTACACTTGCATTTAGAATATGCTTTTGTAATGACGTATGAAGGCAACATGAGTTCTCTAGGAAATAACGTAGTATTTTTGCATAATATTGATGGTTTCCATAGACAATATAAATATGGATTTATTCAGGCAGGATGCCACTAAGTTGAGGGTTAGAAATGTACAGCAGTCACTGAGTAAAAGTCATGTAATAATAAGGAATTCCTTAGCTCTCATAAGCGACTTAGCAGATGTCCTTGGATAAATATAACTATCACTGATGATGATGACAATGAAAAGCTCATGTGAAGAAATCCATCATTCAGTTCTGATACTGACACAAATGTCTTATTGTCTGGTCGACTGAAAAAAAAACACAAGGTCATGAAGTAAATTATCGTCCTTCAGCTCGGCTCCTTTAGTTGTTGTTTTTGTCTTGGCATAAAGTGTTGTGTCTGTGCTGCAGTCAGTGAGTTCCTGAAGATGTAAACCACTGCTGGTTGGGGGTGTCATTTAAAAACCCGGCGTGGTCATGCAAGTAGCATTTAAAATGTTTTTTTTCTTTCTTTCTCACAATTATCTCCTGTTTACTCCTATTTTAACATTTAACCAAGTATGAATTTGTCAGGAAGCCAGAGATGTTCTGTGGGTGAACTCTGACCTCGGTGGTTTGTGGATCTAAGATGGGAACAACCCAAACAACTTGAACTGTTTTTGACAATGAGTCCCTGGTCGGCTTCTTTTTCTTTCTTTGTGTTTTTGACTAAACTTCATTAGAATGGTAAGAAAAAATCATTTAGCCAATCTTTAGCTACTTTGCTATATTATATGTGTATTGGCAAGAATCTGGCAATACAGCGGCAACAATAAACAATATTGCGATATACTGCAATACCATGGGCACGACAATATATTGAGGTTTTTTTAACAAATTGTAGGACAACTGTCAGCATAGTTGCTAGAGAAGAAATGAAAGAATTTAACAAATTAAATAAGTAAGATTGTCTGACTCAAAGTCTCAAATACTGGCAAATATACGCAGTCCCTCTTCAGGAATATGAACATTTGCATGGTAATTATACAGCGTGGTAGAATATCGATACAGTATCGTGTAATGAAACATTGCGAGTATTGATATTTTCTTACAACCTTATTATATATACATGTTTTTCTCAGTATGTTTTGGCTTCATTTTGTCTGCCTATCACGTAATAAGCACTATTTTTGATTAAATACGTCTGTAATTACGTTTGTAATTCCTTAGTGGAATTTCAAATGTTCAATGTTAAATAAACGTAGAAGTTAACGTGTCTTCCTGTTAGCAGAGGTAGTTATCCATATCATACCCTGCTGATAAATAAATTACAAGCAAAATGTCCATCCTTTGATGAGGATGTGAACCTGTTCAACTCCATCGCTCACACAGAGTGTTGCCATGGATCTGAGGAGACGTAGTTAGCCAACGTTTCAGAATCAGGTCCAAGAACTGAGCTGGAAGTTTGAGTGAGTTAAAAATAGTTCCAGAGTGGAGGCTGACAGTTCCTCATGAGGCTGTAAACACTGGTCTGTCTGTGATTCTTCTCACTGATGAACATGTGAAATGATGAGCTGACTCATTTACATACTGGATATGAACTCCACACAGGGTTCCTTCACTTGATCAGACTCAGTGGTTGGTGCCTCAGGTGGAGACGTCTCATTTGGGATTTTACTATATTTTGGTTTACTCTAAGCTATTTCGGGGCTAACCTTTAGCCAATTATTTTTCTTTATAGTTCATTTGAGCTGTCGCTGTGTTTTGTAATCGTGAGGTCAAACACCAAAGATGTTTTTTAACTTTACCACAAGATCTTAGTTTAACTAATTTGCTCAGATTCTATGGCATGGGCTAACCTTTAGGCACATATTTTTTATTGAATTAATTGGAGCTAATTTGCTTTATTTTTCTCGTAGCTTTGATTTTTTATTTAAGTTTATTTAGGTTTAAACTTGAGTTTGTCTCGATTAAATTGTTTTTTGTATATGTGTATTCAGATTAAATATGTTGGGTTTTTCATATTTCTTTTGAACTAATTTGCAGATAATATTTTGTAGCTAACTGTAAGCTGAAGGCTTAAAGAAAACCTAAATTAACTCTATGGCAGTGTTTCCCAACCTTTTTTGAGCCACGGCACATATATATCATCAGGAGAAACTCCACGGCACACCACAACAACAAAACTCTCACAAAAATTACATGTAATAAAATATAATAATCCTTTAGTTAAAATGACCTCGTAAATGACTAAAATCTTGGCCTGTTTAGTTGAACACAATGCTAATATACTGGCAGGAATTGAAGAAAGACACTCACAAAGATCTTCTTTAACAGCTCTGATTAGCTTTTGTTTTAGTTTTCACAACCATCTGCTGCCACCTAGCAGAAGAGTATTTAATTGTTCTACCTTTCATGCTTTGACGAACAAAGAAAAATTATATGCAATAAACAAAAAATAGTTTTCAGCCCAATTAAGTGAAATTGTATAATTTTCCACGACACACCTAATGATCTCTCACGGCACACTAGTGTGCCACGGCACAGTGGTTGGGAATCACTGCTCTATGGCATGATCTGCAGGGACCGTCCTGAGGCATTTCTGCTAAATTCTTACAGTGGTTGATGGAAAAACGTGACAAAAAGCCGTTGGGTTTCTGTAGGGTTCCAGCTGGGATCAGGGAAAGGAAAATGTGCATGTGCATATGGATTTTTCTTTTTTATTGTTTTAAAGGAAAATGGACAAAATTAACTGGAAGACACAGTTTAAAATTGTCCCCATGATCTACTACAACAGCGCCCATGCAGGTACTCACCTGTTGGGATCAATAATGTCTGTCAGAAACGCCTGCCGGCTCTGTAATACTCTGTAATATTCATATTGAGCTGTGCTAATGACACTATTTACCACCACCACAGGGTCGTGATCACAGTTTCTCTCTGGAAACATCTAGTGTGCTATTAAATTCTCCCACACGGAGCACAGACAGGGCCATAACCTGATGCCTGTCTTTCCACTCTCTTTCCTGTCCATTGGTCTGTAGAACCTGGAGGCGAAATCCTGCCACTGCACCACTCTCGCCCCTTGTGGTCTCATTAGCAGCTGCCAAAATGACTGCAGACAGTTTCCTGCTCTCTGCATTTCTGTTAAAACTTCAGTTCAAAATGTTCCAAACCTTCTCCTTCAGATAAAGGGATGAGTTAGTTCTTCCTCACCAAGCCGAAGACCTCCGCAGGCCTGAGAAAAGTGATTTTCACTGTGCTTTACCACCACCTACTGGGCTGGAGTGTGTGCATTTGTTTTAAGTAATTTGCTATGCTATTTAGTCTGTAATTCATTTATCAAATTAGAGGGGTTGAAGTACTGGTCCTAATCTGAAAAAGGCCCATTAAATTGAAAAATTTGGATTTTGTTACGATTTAAGCGGTAAAAGCATCGATAAATGTATCGTGTAGTACCGTCTGGCACCGAAAAGGCTATGATTTTGGACCGTATCGCCCAGCCTCGATTATGTCACGACATTCTTCCACACAGTTGCGGGGATCACATGGTGCCAGTGGTTCCACCACACGATGGCCCTGTTCCTCTCCCTCGCCGAGACGCTCCTCCTCGCCTCCTCCAGCGCGAGGCACAGCCACGCTCCCTCCCT